AATCCCTATCTTCAGATATTCAGCATCAGTAGTTGTAAGTTTGTTTTTATAAAAAAGAAAAGAAAAAAACATTCAGAAATATTGAAACACCAAAATTATTTATTGGGAATTTTTAGCATCTCTCAATCTTCTAACTGTGCTTCGGACTGTAGCACCTGAAATAGTAGAAAGGGTATAAGCTCCACCAGCAATTTGTTTTCCACATCCTTTGCATTCCCAAATTCCACAAGCAGTTCTTCTGACAGCTTCTTTGCAGCAGAATGGGCAAACATATTTGGAATGTTGGGCTATTTCAATCTTCTTAATAACTTTACGAAGTGAAGCACCATATCTTGTTCCATATTTACCTACAATTCCTACCTTCTTTGTTCTTCGAGCCATGTTGGTGTTCTTTCACTTTTTGAGATGATTCAATCATAAAAAATTAAATTTTAGGGTTGATTTTTTATTATTTTATTACTATTCTTTTTATTATTTTTTGTTATTTTTAATCCTCTCTCATTATTTTTTAATTATGTTATATATAACAAAATGATTAAAATAAAAAATAATTATTTAATTAACACTACATTACAAGTCTTTGTTTAATAACGTGGGTTATAGCATTGAGGATGACGAACATAACAAATAGGTCCATCTTTTTCAAAAAATTGATTAATTTCTTCATCATCATCAGAAGATTCATATTCTTTTGAAGGACCAAATGATTGATATTCTCCAACTTCCGCAGTTGAAAAAACGTCAAAACATCCTTCTGATGCACTTTCACTTTCAAGAGATTCACAAATCACTTGTTCCGATAAACTTCTTATTGCTCTGTTCATACTAAAAAAATACGTTTAATGAAATCTAGATTATATAATAAATTGAAGTGAAGAAAAGAAATAGGGGTATAATAACGTTGATCAGTTTATTTTTTTTTTGAATTACCAAACAATATGAAGAAACTTCTATTCTGAATTTATAAAGAAACAAAGATATAAAAATTTAATGAATTACTCTACAAAAATCCAAAATTTTTAAGATTTTAGGTTCAGGAGGTGATTCTAGACAGATATTACTTCTTTTTTTGCAAGAAATTTTTAAAATAATTCAACACCAAAATAAATACGAATAATTAAAATAAATATGATGATTTGAACTGAAACAAATTGTTAAAATAAAAAATTTCACGCAAATTTTTGTCTCTTTTATACTTTTTAACTAATTTAACTCATCAAAAATATTAATTTCAAAAATAATAAAAAGATAATTAATAATATAATTATTTATTTTTTTTTTATTATTTAAAAATAAAATAATAAATCAGAATATTCTTTAATTAAAGAAATGGTGTCATGCAAATAATATGACCTTCATAATCCGTCATTGGATTTTCTCTCATCTTCTTCTTTTTTCTTAGTTCATTTTGTTTTTTAATTTGGTCTCTAACTACACAAGTATCAGGATAATAATCACGATACAATGGTGAATGTCCATTAATTATTACAGTTGGTATTTCATTTGTTTGTTCAACTTTATAACAAACTTTTAATAACACTTTCCCAGTTACTGCTGTACTTTTATTTCCAAAATTACTTAATTGGTACCAATCTTGAATAATAACATCTGGTGGGAAATATTGTAAATCAAAATTAACAGCTCCCATAAATACATCCCATCCAATTCTATGATAATCATATAAATATACAACAACATTTGTTCTTTCTTTACTAACAATAATACTTATTTTATTATTCTTTGTAAATACAGGATCTAATGAATTACTTTGTTTATTCGTTTTAATCCAATTTTCATTGCTATCCCAAACACATGCATATGGATCTGGACATCCCCAGCCTAATACTGGAAGTCCAATAGCTTTAACAATCTCAACTTCAAATCTTGCTTCTTTCCCTTTGATAATATGTGGAATAATTCTTTGTTCTAATGGACGTGGATCAATCCATGATGTAGTTTGGGTATTGTGATCAATAAAATACCATTCTCCATAATCTTGTCCAATTGACCATCCTGGAGGTAACATAGCAGCATTATAAATTGGATATGGAAGTGCACAAGGATTATTCATGTCTGGAGTAAGACTTGTTTGTCTTGTAAAATGAGAAACGTAATATGGTTGTTGGTCAACAGTTAATATTTGTTCAATACCAGGTGCAAGTGTTTTATCAACTACTGTTTGATAAGATGGTGGCATTCTAAAATGAGCTCCATAAAATCCTGTTGTTTTAGTGAAATCTCTTCTTCCACCAAATAAACGAGAACGTTCTGTCATAAGTTGTGGTCCTTTAATATCATATCCAATTTCAATAGGGAATAAAATGTTAATAGTTTTTCTACCAGCTTTACCCTGAATATTGATATAAGTGTTAATAGAAAATTCTCCAGAATGTGCAGTAGTTGGAAGATCTAATGGAACAGTTAATGTACCAACTAAAGTTGATGTTGAATGTATTAAAACAGGTTGAAATACAAATTCAGAAGAACGGAAATTAACATTTGTAGTTTTATAATTATGAGTAGCAACAAAACTTGCTCTTAATTCTAATTGGTCATGTAATAGGTTAGTACATTGTAATGTCATTTGAACTATATCACCAACAGATGGAGAATCATCACTTAGTGTTAATTGAAGATTTACACCACTACTATTATCACAAAATACACGTGGTCGTGGTAAGTGATAATCTGGATTAACACACAAGGGAATTACAAATCCATTAGATCTACTTTTTGATCCATTTTTCTTTGTTAATTCACAATGAATCATATATTGTACATTAACACCACGGTCATTAAAAAAGCTTGATGATGGAATTCCTTTGGGTAATTGAATAACAAATGGATAGCTATAACTTCCAGGTGCTAACTCAGTAGTTAAAGCAATATTGTGGTTATGGAGTTCTTCAAGAACTGGATACTTTGGTGAAGAATAAATAATTGTAGTTTTTGGTGTTTCAACTTCACGAGTAATTTGATGCACTTTTCCTTCATTATCTGTTTCAGTAGTTGTTATTGTTTCAGTATAATGTGTATTGAATATTCCTTCAATAAAGACAGTTATTCCTTTAATAAAGGTAGGAGAATTTGTAGTGACAGTAACAAATCCTTGAATAGGTTCACCAAGAATATGTCCTGGATGAGTGAGTGTAATAAAGAAGTCAAGCATCTTAAAATGTATTATTAGTTTGTTTTTTTGAGTTTATTTTTATTGTTTTTATTTTTTTTTCATGTATTTTATTTATTCAATTTTCTTCTGTTATTTTCATTGTATCTCATTATCCTTTCTTTTATTTTAAAGTGTGTAAAATATTAATTGAGTTAAGTAAATCATTCAATGTTTAGTTTATTAGAATAACATTATATAGAATTTTCTCTTTTGATATAAAATAAAAATATATAGCTGAATAAGTTGTTAGATGAACTAAATCCTAAGTTGGGTTATAAAAAAGGAAATATAATTAATAGAACTATTATACATTAACTTTATGATGAATTGAAGAAGTGTTTTAAATGGTTTTATTTATGTTTTACTTCTATTTTATATTTATTTAATAGTATATGAGAATTAGACAATTCTTCTTCTATTATAGTATTAGATTTGAATGTGTAAAACATTAATTTTTTCGTATTTTTGATGAGTATTGTTTGTTATGTATTATTGGGGAAATTTTAGTTGTAAGTTTTGTGTTTTTAATCTTCTTACTGAATCTTTTTGTGTATTAATTTATTGATAATATTATAGGTATTATTTCAAAATATATTATTTCTTTATTATGTCTTAGTTTTTCTTTTAATTCTTGGTATTTATTAATTCTATGAATATAATTTAATTCTATATTCTTCTCTTGAAATACAATAATAATGTAACATTCATTTTAATAGTTAATGAAATGAAATGAATTATTAATATTTATTCATTCATACAAAATAAATTAAACAACATAAAATATTAATATATCACAAATAACAAAGAATGATGAAAATAATGTAATAGAAAATAAAATAAATGATAATTAGAAATAAATAAAATTCAGTAATGATGTTAATTTCAATCAATAAACAAAAGAAATCAATAAAAATATGATTAATAAGCAGTATATCAACATTAACACTTGTTTTTTTAAATCAAAACAAAATCCAAACAAAAGAAACAATTTAAGAAATGAAAATATAAACATTTTGAAATTAAAAAGAAAGTTAAAAAAGTAGAAATAAAATTGAGAAATAATGAACGAATAAGAATAATGATGAAAAGTTTTTATAAAAAATACTCTTATTAATAATAGATTTATTTCAAAATAAAATAAAAGAAGAACTAATAAACAATAATAAAACAATAAAGAAAGAATGAAAATAGGATATAATGAAATAATGATTGTATCGAAGTATTTTGAAGATATTAATGATTTTATTAATTTAGAAATGAGAGTTAAAAGATTTAGAGGGAATATGGATCAATTTCAATTTAATCCAATATTATTAAATTAATATTCAAGAAAACTGTTTCCTAACATTGA